GGCTCCAGCCTCCTTTCAGGCAGTTGCAGAGAGCGATGAGGGCTCCCCTCAGCCTCCTCCTCTCCAGGCTGAGCCCCCCCAGCTCCCCCAGCCGCTCCTCCCCAGCCTTGTGCTCCAGCCCCTGCCCCAGCCTCGCTGCCCTGCTCTGGCCACGCTCCAGCCCCTCCATGGCCTTTGTGGGGTGAGGGGCCCAGCGCTGAACACAATACTTGAGGTACGGCCTCACCAGTGCCCAGTACAGGGGGACGATCGCCTTTTGTTGAGCTCTACGCTGATGTCTCAGCCCTGGAGACAGCACATTGGCCCGGTGTTGCTTGCTGTGTTGGTCTCAGTAGCAGTGGGTGACCTTGCTCAGTTTGCACTTGTTCTTTGTGACCTGCTCTGAGATCTCGTGAACGACCTCAGTCATAAATACTCGCCATCACACCCTGGGCGCAGCTGGAAGCAATGTCCTCCCTCGCAGTGTAGCGAGGGGCTTAGTGATCCTTTTCACTTGGTCTACTAAGTTAGCTTTAGTTATGTTTTTCTTTATTGCTTTTAGAAACAAGTTAAATTTTTGTGGGCACAGAATACAGATAAAATGCATTAAGCTAATGGGGTTGGTTTTTTTCTTTCCAACTCAGATGCGCTTCTTAAGATTTCTCTGTTTGTGGACAACCAGCGAGAGCTGTGCTGCTCACCAGGCTCCTGACAGAGAACAGGAGGGACTGATGTTGACCAGCTTCCACGAGAGCCTGGCGTGTTCTGAGATGACCGCAAAGATGATGGTGAATTGAGGAAGCTTTACCGGTGCTTTTTGGAAGCTGAATGAGTTGGGTACTTGGCCTCAAGTGCTTGGACTGTTTCATTTTCAAGTGGAAATGGACTTGGCGTCTGAAGAAGAGGCTGAGAAAAAAAAGCCATGAAGATGGAAGGGAGTCATCTTCAGCTACAGAAGTCGTCCTTTCTTCTGCCTGCCATGGATATTTTGTATACTGAAAAAAACGTTGGGACTTACTAGCTTACAAAGAAATGGCGAGGTGCGCCGCAAGTAAGCGAGTGTAACGTAAGGTCCAGCAGGCTGATGCCATGTAAGAAAGGTGTTTAGGTACCATCCTTACAAATAAATAAAAGATGTAAATCAGGGCTTCAGACCAGTTTGCACCTCGTGCCTCTGAGCAATATGTTTGCTTTCATCCCGCCTGTACATTGATGAGGAAAGAGCAAATTTGACTTGAAAAGGTAATTAGGGAGGTGCACGGACACCTGAGTTCTGACGCAGGCAGTTTTCAAGCGCGTTAGAGTATGCTTCTCTGATACCTCTGCTAGGGCATGTTTAAGTCACAGTCTTAAAAGTTTGTGCTCTGTTGCAGCAGCAGCTGCTGACAGTTCTAGGGACGTCTTTTGTCGGCCATGACACCGATCCTCTGTAACGGTCCCGGAAAGTGGTGGGATGCCTGTCTCTAAAGAATGTATTTGATAAGAACTGTAGCTTCCCAGAGAAGGCCAAATAAAGACCTGTACTTGGACAGATTGTGCTCGTGCTCCCTGTTTTTATGGCGAAGCAGGGCTCAAACCCGGGGAGTCCATTTGACCACCTGAGGGCACTGCTCGACCTGCGAGAGCGGCGTTGGGGGGCCCTGGGAGACTGCTGGCTGTGCAGGGCTGGGGCCGCCAGTGCTCCCCCTCGCCTGACAGGCCTTCGTGGGATGGTGCTTTATGTGCAGTTTTAATTGCAAAGAAAAATAACGTCACCCTCTTGGCGTTGGTATGGCTGCCGAGCGTCATGGCTGATGACATCAGCATTTGCCGAGGGAAGGGCGTTACACTCGGAGAAGCAAGGTGGGTTCTGCTCCCAGCACGTGCGGGCAGCGGGTCTGGGGGCTGGTGGGGTGCTCGGTGGGCTCGGCGGTATTCCTCCCCTGCTGAGGGTAGTTCCTCTTGTGTCTGCGTGCTCTGCGTCGCTGCAGGACCCTGGCGTGCTCGCTGGAGCTGATCCTGTCCTCCAGCCGGCTGCGAGGGGCTCTCGTGGCTGGACAAGTGCCCTCTGCTCCGCGCATCCCCGCAGACCCTGCGTGAGAGCGGGGTGTAGCTGTGTGCTGTGAGCCACAGTGCGGCTGTTCTGAGCGTTTCACTTGGCCGTCTCCTTCCCAGGGAAATGAGGGATGGAGTCCTCCTCCTGCTGCTTCAGCTTAAGATAAAGCAGATGATGCAGTGAAGATACTGGTTTGGCAGATCAGCCAAGAATGCAGTTTAGGTAGCAAATGGCTGTACAGCAGTCTCAATGCAGACACTTCTGCATGCAAAGCACTTCCCCTCCTTCTCGAGTGGCTCTGTCTCACCATGACCTGTCACTGACTCATTTTGTCAGTGTGCTGCTGATGCTGGGGGTTGCATCACAGCATCAGTTCAGTATAAGGCATTTATTTTGCCATCCACAGCAGAGTGAGCAATTTCATCTAGTTTCCTTCTCCAGAGCTTTGATTCCAGCCGCAAACTCCTCCCAACTCGAGAAATTCACCTCCTGTGTTTAGGTTCCAGTTAGCGAAGCAGCATAGGTCAACTTTATTAGCCATTGCCTGCTGCTCGTGTTCAACCTGTGCATCTTCCCTACGGACATCGCTGACTTCTGATTTTAAGGAAAGGGCGAGCGCGTGCTGTGGGATGACACAGATCACAGCAGATTTATGCAGGTGCCCTCCTAGCTATCGCTGACAGCTGAGTGCTGGTGTCTGCAGAGGCCGCCAGTCTGAAATCCACCTGACAAACAGAGGCTGAATGTTGTTCAGCAAAGCACAAAGGTAATTGCAGTATTATTTCATCCATCTCCTGTTCCTTTCTGTTACGGTTTTGAACCTGTGGCCAAAGCGCAGACGTGTTGCCTGTGCTGGGACTGTGCTGCCGAGCTACGCGGCTAATGGCAAGCATGCACGCACCTCCATCAGTGCTGATGGCTGTCACTGCCACGAGTGACCTGCACGGCTCTGATTTTGGGACAGGGGATGAGGGAGAGCAGCTCTATGGCCTTGTGGTCATTACACATGGCTTGAAGGGCATGAAGACTGTAGGGTGAATCCTGGGGTCCCTGAGGTATCATCATCATAAAACAATAAATCATGGTGTTTGTGGATGCAGAATTGTGTTTGCATGTGCACACACTAGACAGCCCTTCAACACCCCTCTTCTCTGGCAGTCTGTCTTCAGTACAGCTGCATAAAGAACAAATGGATTTAAATTTTGGAAGGTCTTCAGAACAATTCGGTGGTGGCCCTTCTGCTTTTCCCAGACGTTTGGCCCTCTGCTGTCTGTCTTTGAGTTAACAACAGCCCTGCTAAAAGTGCTGAGAGCTTTCTGAAATACAAGTGGCCATGACCTGACTCCGACTCTGACTGAAATGGGGTAAAGGAGGTGCTCGTTGAAGTTTTGTTGTGATTAATTACTCTGTACTGTCTCTGGCTGATGGGCCATGTCATCAGTTGCATTTTTCTGCAGTGTTCTGGAAGGGCACGACTGAATCCCCGCATCAGAGTGCTCTAATTGGATACAACTGTGGGTTTGTTCCTTTTCAAGATCTGGATGTTACAGCTCAGGACAGCTGCCAAGGTCCCCAGTTGCTAACAAGAATATGGTTCCTTGTGTGTGTGTGAGACTTCCTTCAGCCGGCGTTCACCAGGGAATCCCTGCGGGTTCAAAGGTTCCCACCCTGAAGCCAGCCAGGGTGGGCATTCAGTCTTTATTCACTCCTCTTCCCATGCCTGGGAGCCTGCGGGGCTGCTAGATACCTGTGCTCCGGCGGCAGGGCTGTCCTTGGGTGGTGCCGTGCCAGCCTGCGGCTCCCGAGAGCCCGGGCAGGCTGTCTGCAGCATTTTTTGCTGCGGCTCCGAGGAGCGAGGGCAGTCTGGCTGCAGCAGGCACCGCTCTCCCTCCCCACGTCTCTCCCTCATCCTGAAGGTCCCTGGCTCGCTCTTGGTTTGTTTCTGTGTCTGAGCTTTCCAAGACTGAGCTGTGACATGGCCCACCATTAGCAAGCCATGTCTGCTATCATCATGAAAGATTTCGGCGTCTGTCCGAGTACTGGGGTGGGAGGGAGGTGAATGCAAACGCAGCAGCACCCCCTGGCAGGCAGCGGGGTCCCCTCCAGCCGCCTGGGGAAGCCGAATGTGGGGACGGGGGCTCCGGCCTGTGCGGTACCTGAGTGAGGCCAGAGGGTAAGGGCAGTATCAAGGGCTCTGAGACTAACTGGTAAAATATACCTCACCATAAAAATAAATCTGAGTGCCTTTATTATTGGAGCAGAGCTCTTGAAGTATTCTTGCACGGAGATCTGTCTTTCAGGAATGCAATAAAACAAAGTTAGCAGCTGGAGCTACCTTGTTAAAGTAAAATTTTCAGGAAACACAAAGGTCATGCTTTGATTTTCAGCTTTACCTCCTGCTAACTTAATTTGAAAATAGTTATTCTTCACTTATAGGGAAAGCATAAACTAAAATCAGTTACTAAATTTGAATATCCACGAACGTTTATAGAGAGCATCTGACTTCTATCCGGTTAGTTTGTTTTTCCATGTAGGGTGAAATTTAGCTTCTGATGCAGCGATGTCTTTGCACAGTTCTGCTTCAGAAACGAGGACCTGCTGTGGGTAACTCCAGACTTTTAAAAGAAACCCAAAAGCTTTGCTTCAGCATAAGCTCATGGATTTCAAACATTTCAAAACTAAATTTACCACAAGGGTCCATAGTTAGGAAAAATACAAAGAATTTGGCACCTGAATTTAAGTGTAAAGTGAGTTGGAGGCAGAAATACGTGATAAAAAGCTTTTTTTTGAGACTTTCATCTTGGCTTGAAGCAGAACTCCTTTGTGATCTTGCAGGGCCCAAGAGGCTGCGTGAGTGCTTACCCGCTCAGAAATAAAACTCACGTTCTCCCATCTACATTAATTGGATGTGTAGCTCTGTTCCTCGCGTTTGGCTGTCTATGCTTTGGTGTTTCTCTAGTGCTCCTGACTTCATCCCAGCATTTGCCCTGTTGAGTTGTTGGTGAGCTCCAAGGGGGGCTCCTATAGATGTGTGTTGAGTGGGGACACATCTGGCTGAGAAGCAGGGATGTGCTTTCCTGCAGCGCGGATGTGCTCAGCGCAGGGTCTGTTGTCTGCCCTTGCGAGGGTGGGCACAGGCAGTTATTTGGCCAGCTCTTTGCCACCCTGGTTTATCCCTTGTTGCTACCCCCAGCCCCTTCTATTCCAGCAGACCCTCCAGGGCCGCCTGTTCTGCACTCCACGCTTCCGCAGCATCGCTCGCTGTATCTGCCAGTCCTGCGTAGGTTTTATTTCAATCCTCTCTTCCTGCTTTTCCCCTCAACCCTTTTACTCCTCCTCCCTCCTTCTGTGGAAACAAATCTACAGTAGGTGTCTCTTGAACTTGCCTGAACTCCTTGTCCCAAGCACCTTCCTAACTAATCCTTTCCAGATGTCCAGGAACTTTTATGTTTAGCAGTTCTGCTCAAGTTCCTCATTCATTCTCAGCGGAGCAAACATTATATTTCCTAATATTATTTGAAAAATAAGACTGATCGTGGCCTTCTGAGAAGTCGTTGCTACCTCAAAATGCAATGAATGCAAGGAAGCACCATTGCAGCCTTTCACCCCCAAACTGGAGCACAACAGATATTCATAAAGAGCACAGGAGTTTTATTTTCTGTAGCTGACACTGCTCCATGGCTATCTATGAAGTTTTGAAAGCGCTCAGTACTGCGCTTGTACCCAGCCAAGCGACGGGTGTTGGCTTGCAATTTCCCAGCTACAGCAGCATGGAGAAATCGGGAGATCTGTCTGATGTTACTCCAACGGTGACCCAGCAACAGAAAGCAGGTTTCCCTGACCATCCTCTCATCTCCTTTCCAGCATAACTTTGGTTTTGGGGAGATGACTGTTACTTCAGGCAGGGGATGCGGTCAGTGGCTTCTTTCATGCATGATCTCCGGGTGACCTGTGCATCCCGTCTTTGATGTTGAGTATGTTGAGCTGCATGCAGCCTCATGATTTGTCCATAACGGCTGTGTTCGGCAGGGGCCTCTGGGGAAAAGGGCTGTCTGTCATCCCAAAGTCCAATGGGATGATGAGATTTGTAGGATTGGAGGCAATGCCTGAGCCAGTTTACAATCCTGGAGACTGCCTCTCCAGCACAGCCGCTAGCTTGTCTTGAAATCAAGTCCTGTGGTTCCCCCTGTGCCTCCGGTGGCTTTTCATCCTTCCCACTGCACTCTGTGCGCAGCGAGGCTTGCAGTGGGTTTTGGCTATTGGAAAGCTTTGGGCTGTTCAGTGAGATTTGGGAAATGCCTATCTTTTTCTTTCCATTTTTCCTTGCTTTGGGATTCACCTGGCATGTTACATGTTGATTGCAAAGTGCCAGTGGTAGGAGAGAGACCTTCCCTAAATTCAGATTCTTGTTACAGAACGGTTTTGTGCCGTCAGCGGTCTGGGGCCCAGGAATGGTAAGTGCCGGTAGGACAAACCTGCTTTGTTGTCCTGTGCTCCCGCCAGCTCCACAGTCACCATTGCCTTCCCACACAAGCAGCGCTTACAGAAACATGAAGTAGCTCTTTAATTTCACAGCAAAGCAAGCCTCTGTGGGACTCGGTGCTCCTCCGTCCCCCAGCCTTCCTCACTGGGGGCCGCTACGGGATGGCTCCCTGTTCCTTTTTCTCCGCGGTCCAGACAGTCGCTAGGCCACCTGGGGAAGGCAGAATGAAGAACATCAAGCCGGTAAGTCTCCTAACCATTCTGCTATGTGAGGAATGAATCCAAGAGCCTTTGCACACTATTAATCTTTTCCAATTCCTAAGAAAGCAAATGATCTCCTCCCGCTCCCATAAATTCAACCTCTCTCTCCCGCTTCCCCCCAGTGTTTGAACTGTTCGCCAAGAGCTTTATTAAAAACTACAAGATGCAGTTTTGTTTCTAACCGAATCCCAAACAACTGTGTTACGTGGAGAAGAAACATTTGGTGCAGTCAGCTTTAGAGCATTTTTGTGTGTAGTCCATAGCCACTTGTCAGCCTGAGAC